AACTGCTTCCATTTCCCTACACTTCAGATTGTGGTGGGTTATAAATAGGCACAACGTAACCTCCGGTTTATGTTAATACTCTGTGCTTATCACCCTCAGATACATTTTGTAATTCCTCAAAATAGTAGCACTATTTGTCTCACTCTCTCACACACAAATACACACCCCAGAACAGTGCAATCTTGCCAAGAACAAACTGTTGGAGAAAATGTACCTATGAACCAAACCTGAGATTCTCCCTACACAGAGGTGCCAGCCACAATGACAAATTTGTGGGATTTCCACCCACAGGTTGTTGGTTTTTTTAAAAAAAATATCAAAGCAAATAGTAATGCATCTTTCAAGTTCCATTTGGTCACTTCTGAACTTCTGTTTCAAAGCAGTAATTGCAATATTCCCACAACTGATTATCAAGGAGCAAAAGCAGTCTGGGCTGCTGTTTGGATTTAAAAGGGCTTTGGTAGACGCTAACAATTGTGCAAGTCTTTTTCCTGACTTTAGACACTTGCTAAGCAGGCAAGTAATTTCGTTTATTACAGATTCAGCAGTCGTTCCTTCTACACATTTGTATTTTAACTGTGGTGAAAACCTGCCTTTCCCAACCATTTCAGTATTATACATGGTAATGCCATGACCACAGCTATACCAGACATCTTCAGCGCAAACAGATACGTATTCATGAGTCTCAAAGCAGAAAGAGGCAGTGTGGTGCAGTGCTAGAATGTTGGTTTGGATGTTTCCATTCCCATTCAGTCTTGATGCTCTTTTGGTGCCTAACCTACATCACGGGGTTGTTATAAAGATTTTTTTTAAATAAGAACTCCATTCACATGACCCTGAAACGATTGGAAGTAAGGAGGGACATAAATGGGATGGACGAATAAGCAAACTACTGCAGATATGCTGCTAATCATAATTAACACCTCTTGCAGCTGCTGGGGTGCAGGGCGTAGAGATTGAGTGTAAACCCAAGGAGAGAAGACAGGTGGGCCCTGTTTATGTTTCTCTTTCTCATTCCCAGCATGTGGACATCCAGAATTTCTCCTCCAGCTGGAGCAGTGGCATGGCCTTCTGTGCTCTCATCCACAAATTCTTCCCAGATGCTTTTGACTACGCTGCACTTGACCCAGCAAACCGCAAAGAGAACTTCACTCTGGCCTTCTCCACTGCAGAGTAAGCACCTTCCCAGACCCCAGGACCCCACAACCATAGGGCAGGTTGGGCTGGGTGGAAGAGCCAGGCCACACTTCCACATACCCACATCCTGGTGATTGTGGGTGCATTGCTGTTTGCTGCAGTGAACATGTAAACAAATTTATACTGTACCTGTTTCAAATTAATAATAATAATAATTCCCCCAGCCACTCTGAGCAGCTCCCAACAGAATAAAAAGGCGATAAAATATCAAATATTAAAAATTTCCCTAAATATGGCTGAATTCAGATGTCTTCTAAAAGTCAGATAGTTGTTTATTTCCTTGACATCTGATGGGAGGGTGTTCCACAGGGCGGGTGCCACTACCAAGAAGGACCTCTGCCTGGTACATGTAACAACATTTAGGCCCTATCTACACTTACCTCCCCACCCCCTGCTCTTTCCAGGCACAGGCCCACACTTTAAAGCTCTGTGTCCTTGCAAAAGCCCGCTCTTTAAAGCTGAAGTGCAACAAACAGCAATTTGTGTTTTCCACAGATTGTTGTTTGCTTGGATTCAGATTTAAAGAACTGGCTTTCACTGGGAAAATGCCAAAGCAAAAAACTGGGGGGGGGGCACTCAGACACAGAGCTTTAAAGAGTGGACTTGTCTCTGGAAACTGCAGAGGAAAAGTTATGTGTGCATAACAGCAATCCAAAGCACAGCTAAACCATTTCAAACAACTGAGCAACAAAAAACAACAAAGCAATAGTTGTACATTTCAGCACAGGTTAATATCAGAGTGCAACAACAACACTTGGGCAAATAAACTTTGCACCAAAGAAATACCAACACAGGGGGTATACCCAAGGAAGCCATTTCTCCTGTCTCTTGACCTCTGTAAGCAGGGTGAGCTGGAGAAGGGCCTCGGAAGGCGATCTCTGCATGCAAATAGGCTTGTTTGGGAGTAGGACAGCTTTCCCCATGCCATGCCAGCCATAGGGAGCTGTAGTCCAAAACCTCTGGTCTCTTTACACCTTCCGCATGTGCCTGAGGAACATGGCGTAAACCAAGCCAGAGTCAAAAAGCACTAATAGGGATGTCTCGCCATCTGTACCCTAGCATGTAATGTATTATATGGGCCATGGTTTCTTCATGAGTGGGGAACCTGCTGCCATCCAGGTGTTGCTGGGTTCCCAGTACCAGCAGCCCCAGCCAGCACAGCCAAGGATGTTGGGAGTTGGAATTCAGCACCCAAAGCACTGCACGTTACACACACACACACACACACACACACACGCTTTAGATCACAGTTCTCTTTGATCCCGTGCCAACTTTCCAAAGTCAAAGGGATGGGGCGGCTTCACTGTTTTTTGGTTTAAGAGTTATGCTCAAGAGATTCCCTGTAGCATCTGTGAAGGTGAAAAAGGTGCCAAGCTAAATCTGGATGCTCTTTGCCATCCTCTTCCCAGGGAGCTTGCTGACTGTCCCCAGCTTCTGGATGTGGCCGACATGGTGCGCATGAGTGTCCCTGACAACAAATGCATCTACACCTACGTCCAGGAGCTTTATCGCAGCCTGGTGCAGAAAGGGCTTGTGAAGACCAAGAAGAAATGAGAACAGAAGGCAGGCTTGCGTTTGAGGCTTACTGGAAGCTGGAGGGGAGGTTTGGCAGAACAGGTGAGAAGGGCTCCATGGAGGACCTCTTCACTAAGTGAGAGCGTAATATAATGGCCAGTAGGGGGTGTGGGTGGTGCTGGGGTCTAAACCACCGAGCCTCTTGGGCTTGCCAATCAGAAGGTCGGCGGTTCAAATCCCCTTGAAGGGGTGAGCTCCCGTTGCTCTGTCCCAGCTCCTGCCAACCAAGCAGTTCGAAAACATGCCAGTGCAAGTAGATAAACAGGTACCACTGCAGCAGGAAGGTACCGTAAATGGCATTTCCGTGTGCTCTGGCTTCTGTCATGGTGTTCTGTTGCACCAGAAGCATTTTAGTCGTGCTGCCCACATGACAAGGAAAGCTGTCTGTGGACAAACGCCGGCTCCCTCTGCCTGAAAGCGAGATGAGTGCTGCACCCCATAGTCGCCTTTGACTGTGGACTTAACCATCCGGGGTCCTTTACCTTTTTTATATATACAATGGCTAGTAGAAATGGGGGACAGGGCACTGGCTCAGTCATTATCACATTTCTGGAAAGAAGCAACCTTATTTTAACATTAATACCATGCCTTACAGAGCGGTAAGTTATAAAAAGCTCAAGAAGGATGTCAAAGACAGAGCCATGGTTTAAATCAGGGCTGCCAAACAGAATTATCTTATCGAGTCCTGTGACTTCCCCAGTGAGGTCTTTGGCCTCCCTACCTCATGCTACACAATTTGCTGAACCGCCTCTAGAGTTTGGAAATGATGTGTATAGTAGAGCCAAAGGGATCACCCACCAATTGCATGTCTCAGATTAGCCCCACACCCCATTAGCAGGAAAGGTATCAAAGCATATGACATCTGCAGCCAAGGGTGTCATGTTGGTTGGTGGTATTTAGTCAGTAGAAAAGGATATTTGGATGACAGGGGCATTAAAGGTGGCAGGACTGGGTGATGATGGATAGCTGTTTTGGCTGAGAGGGCTGGTGGCAGGTGTTTTGGCATGCAAGAAGCTTTTGGGGGTTTGGCAGTGACTAGTGGGAAGAGGGGCTAAAGTGGGAGGTTATGAGCTGAAAGTGGGTGCCCAGCATAGGAGTGTGAAGTGGCAATTGCGGGCAGCACTGGTGACAGGATAGTGGCAGGCAACATGTGGAAGCAAGGGACATTGCTAACCATAATCCTACTACTGGTCTCCTCCTCCAACCCAACCAGGGCAAACAAACCAGTGGGGTTTTTGGTGCAGATTATGGGTGTGGTCCATCTATATCTTATTTGCAGGTAAGATGCCCCCCCCAAACCCTTTTGGATTCTCCTCCTCTGCACTGGAAATTACAGCTTCCCTTAGGCTAAAGTGGGCTCAGATTCAGGATTTTCTTCTTTTGCTTTTCAGAGAGAAGGCGACATGGGATGTCCCCTGGTCTCTATTCTGCCATTTCTTGTGCACTGCACTGGATCAAACCAAAGTGGCTTTTGCTCTAGCGTTTAAGTCTGCTACACACAAACTTTCTGCCTGTGTGCTTTTGAGATGTGTGGGGAAAGGGATCGTTAACTCTGTCCTGTAGGTGCTTCTAGTCACCTTCAGCAATCTGGCCTCCAAGGAACCAAAAGCCTCTGTCATAAACCGGCATGGTGTGGAACAAGGAAGTCTCTCCAGAAAATAACCACTGCCCATTTCACGTACTATTCTCTTGGCTGCAAATGCTGGCAAGTCCTCTTCCAACCCGTGCTGCGCTTCTCTTTAACCTCACTCACTTCTCCTTACCGAGCATCATTAAAGCACAACTGTTTGAAGTCCAAGGCAACTAGGCAGTGTCTGTGATTCCCGCCCACCCCAAAGCAAACTACAGTTCAAGTCCCATCCATCAATGGTGAGGTTACCAAGGAGATAGTATGAACAGCTCTCCTTGAAGATATTAAGCACAAGGCACACTAGAGCTGCGCAGCGTACAGGGAAAACACAACCTCATCCGATGCCTGCTTACTAGGAAGGAAGCCCCACAGTATTCAGTTACTCCCAGACAGATGCTTCAGTCCTAAGCACAAAAGTCCCTGTGCAACTTGGAGCAGGCATGGCTAAGATCAGGCTGTTAGGATAACACACTAGGAAGAAGTTTAGCAAACAAGCTGCCATGAGAGACTGTGGCCAGGGAGGAATATGGCCAGATAACCCCAACAGCAAGAGGTCCAGCAGAGTGAGAATGAGAAAGACCAGCTGCCACAACAGAAGGAGGAAGAACATTTTTTATTAGAAAATGCATTTACTCACATATATTTGTGCAAGGCATTCCCATTTCCTAGGGTGTAAGATTCCACTGAAGCAAGAACTTGCCTCTAAATATGTTCTGCTCAGAACAGAACAGTATAAGTGATTTAAAAATAAAATAAAATCTGACTTCAGATTTTTGGCAACATAGGCCAATTGTTTGCCAGCTCCACATGTCTGCCCTGCTCTACTCGGAAGAGCCTTCCAGCTCACTTATCACATCATTACTTACCTACTGTATTTCAAAACCTCCAAGCTAAGTTAGGGTGCTTCTAGGCAGTGGAGTGTTGCCCATTAGGGAGAATGGGGCATTGCCCCACCAACTTCAGTCTGCCCTCAACCAGTCTCCCACCTGCCTACCTTCTTACAACCAGTCCAGGGAGTGCTCCTAGCAGCCAGCTTCCCCCTTCTTAGACTCAATGTTGCCCTTGTAGGACTCAGCAGGAAGGAGGATGTAGTCAAAACTAAAATGAGCTGCCTTTGCCTATCAAAGGCTCTGGCTCCACTTACTGCTCCCTCTGCCTTCTGTCCCAAGAGTCCCAGTGGCCAGTGGCCATCTCTCCTTCCAGTTCCAGACATGGACCATTAGCAGCACTCAGTCCTCACTGCTGTGTTTTAAGGTGGAAGTGGAGTAGCTGCTCAGAGAGTGTTAGAAATCTGGAAACAGAGGCAGTCCCCCCCACCTTTCCTCAACCCCAAATGTTGCAGGCGGGGGGAGATTTTCATTCCCTTTCCTCACTGAACTCATGATTATGATGTTTTCTCCCCTCCCTCCAATTTGGGGTCAGAGAGAGACAAGAAATACCTGCAAGGCAGTTCTATTTGGAAAGGGAAGAATTAAAATGCCAAGTTGATTTTTGAGATCCAAACCATCAAGAAGGAAGTGGTTACAGCACAGACTGTACAGCCCATCACCAGCCTGCAAATTGTAGAGCTGCTCCATTGTTTTTTTTTTTAGCTTGGAGAAGGAGGCAGGGAAGGAAGATGAACAGGGAAAACATGGGAGGACGTTTTGATTACAAATGGCATGTACATGTCCTGTAAAAAATGGGTGACAAAGTGTTCTATGAGAAAGCTGCCTTGGACAAACTAAAGAAGGTCATTTGTGTCTCTCCCCAGGAATGTTTAGAGCAGGGGGCGGTGTTAAAGTGAAAAGCAAAACTGTAAGAAAGCAAGAAAGGTCGTCCAAACCCCAGCGAATGCAAGGCGAAAGCACAACATTCCACTTCTAAGAGCAGAGTCCAAACCAAAGTCTCTCCTCCCCAAGGCTGAAGTCTCCTCCCCCTCAGATGCAGAATTAGTGTCATGAGCCAGAGCAATGCAGGATCCCACCGTGTACATTCCTTTATTGAGAATGCAATGGTGGGGACAGCTTCCGTGGTCCCACTTGCATTTCATCCCACTGGGACTGTGCCTATGTGGAAGGTTCCCCAGCCAGCCAGCCAGCGAGGCAGGCAGTGGTTCAGGAGGGCAGCAGGTCACTCGCATGGCCGCTTCTCACTGAATTTGCTGGTCTGCTCTTCAGCTTTGGACAAAAAGCGCTCATGGTCCTGGATAAACTCGTCAGCCAAGTCAGCGCGCAATGGGTGGTCTGGGTCAGGTTTATTCACCAGCACTATCAGTTCCGCAATCACTGTGGGTCAGAAAAAGGTAGGAGGGTCAGAAAAGAGCATAACGTATGTAATAACTTCAAGGAGAGAGAGCGCAGCAGAATGGACAGATGAGCCGTGGCCATCCAACAGCCAGTTGGCTCTCCCTGTGCACTGACACACACAGCTTTCTTGGTCCTACCTTGGTCTGCCTTGGTGGAAGGTCTCCAGTTTTCGTTGCTGACAATCGGCAAGCACACCTGGCCCTTCTCATCCACGTTGGGGTGGTAGATCGGAGTCTTGAAAGTGACCTTGGGAGGCTTGAGGGGGTACTCGCTTGGAAAGCTGATCTCAATCCGGAAGGCGCCTTTGTTGTACGGGGGGTCATCCTGAGCACAAGGACAGGAAAGGGCAGTAGTCACCTCACAGTGCGGCTAGCAAATGGTGCTTCCCTGTATGTGGGCTGTGGGGATCTAAAAAAATAAAAGCCCAGATTCAAGCAGACCCGTTCTGCTACCTCAAGGCGAGTGGAAAATCTGGACCCTCCTCTGTAAAATAAAGTGATACGGTGCTGCCTTTTAACGATGCCCATTTACATTGCCTGAGGCAGTCACTTCACCCTACCCCAAAGGCCAAGCTCTTCTCTCTAGGAGCCATTGGTGTTGCCTTTGAGGCTATTCAGGCCCAGCTATTTCCTTGCCTTCCCTAAACTCACCGGCACTAGAAGTCCCTTCCACAGCAGGACATTGTTCACATCTACTTCAACATCCCGAAGGCAGCGGAACCCGGACGTTTTAATTCTATTCAGCTCCTGAAAAAGCAAAAAGATGGTTCCAGGCCTAGTGGTGACAATTGCCCAGCAAAGCATGGTCATCCTGTTGGACCAGGGGATCTCAAACTTTTCACCTCCAGCAAGGACCACTTGCCTGAAAATTACTGAGGCCCACCAGCCACAAAAGGGAAGCAGAGTTTAGCATAATCCACTGGCATTTACTGACATCATTTTCTACAGGTATATAATGCATCTTTGTAAATTAGTCCATTCCTTCCTCGTCTTTTCACGTATAGCAAGGAGCAGCAGAGCTCGGCTTTCCTCAAGCTAAGTACAGACATTTACTCAGAAGGTATTCTGACAGCCTCCCACTTCTAGGAAGAATTTGCACTAAGTGGAGATGACTTTTTCTTTTATATTTTTCATATCCCATCCTCACGTGTCTCAAAGTATTTTTCCCATCTCCGATCCTCTGCCACCAATTTCTCTCATCTCTCCTTCCTGGGCAAACCATGGTTTGTGACATCTCAATGCTGCCAATGTCTGCACAAAACTACTGAACACCTTCATTTTGGTCCACTAATATAGCCTTGCCATACCATGGAGGACTTGGCAGCAAGAACAAGTGAGACCCTCACCCTCCATTTCCACATGTCAGGTTTCCTAAATGCTTGACACAGGATCTGTGTTTGTGTCATTTGCTTCCTGTAAATCAGTTATATCCGCCACCTTTATTTTTGTCTCTCTTCCCCTCACTCAAACAAGTCACCAGCTGCTTTCAAAAAAGATAGCAAAATATTAATCTTGGGTATCAGTACGTTTCTAAAAGTGAGAAAGATCTTTCCTAACTTGGTCCCAGCTGTGCCTTGGCTTGCCCTCTCTTCCTTGCCTCTAAGTTTCAATTCATTGACAGAAACTTCCTCAAGAAGTTGATATCATAACAGCAGGCATATCTCCTTTCTCAAACTTTATGGCTTTTCTCATCCACAGGACAATTGACATGCTGCCAACAGCATTACTGTAATTTGCGCAATTTCCTTGCTCTTTCCAAGCTTAACAGTAACAGAAACTGAAAGCTATTTTTCCACTGCAACTGAACTGGCAGCTACACAGCCTCCCTCCTTCAGACATTTCCCCTTCAAACCAGTATTTCAGCTTCAGTCTCTTTGAAAACTGTAGTCAACATTCCCCCTGCTAAAATAATAATAATAGCAATACTAATACTAATACTAATCACCACCATCCTGGGAACAGCAGTTTAGTCTTCAGATACGCAGTTCCAAATTGTAAGTAGTTTTTGACGTATGCTTATCTATTCCACGATGAATTCAGAACTGCCCCTTAATAGCAAATGTTATCCAAGAAAGTTGCACTTAAGGGTTTGCTGTCTGTTGCCCACCTCACCAGGTATTTATTTTTTACAAGTCTCTCTAAACTTGGATTTTGATCGTTGTAAAAGTGAGAGATGGACAAGTTGCACCCCCCTCCCAAAAGCACGTTATTACATATGCATTTCTATATGTTCAGGTATGCATATCTCCACCTTCCCCACCCCGGTGAGGGCTTCCGTGCTCTGGGCAGCTGCGCGGCAGGCAGGCATTCGAGCGGTATAGCCTTGGCTCAGCCTAGCGGTGCCGCGACGAGAAACGCTTCGCCCGTCACCAGGGTCCATGAAACCTTCCCCGGCAGAAAAGAGGCGACCCGATCCTAAGACGGGAACCGTCGCTGGATCGAAGCGCCCCCTTACAATAAAGAGGCGGCAAGACTAGGGCAAGTGTCCCTCCCTCCCCTCGAAGATCCCACCTTCACAAGCCCGCCTGGCCCGCCTCTCAGCCCTTCCTAAGCAGCAGATCTCCAGAGCAGCTGCGCGGGACCGAGAAGGTCGGGGATCTGCCGCGCCGCCCCCCGCGCCTACCTTCGCCACTCGGCGGGGCGCCGCCGCCATCTTCGCTTGAAGCTGCTTCCGAGTCTCCTGCTGCTGCTGCTGCTTCTCGGTGCGCCGGGTGGTTGGCTGCAAGTTGCGCTATTGCTCCGCCTCGGAGAGAGAGCCGCGAGATGCGAGGAGAGGGTTTTCCTTTCGGAAGAGCGGGCAAAAGCTCTCTCCGGGTTAGGATCCGGATTTCCCCGCCGCTTGCATGAGCAGCACCAATTCCAAAATAAACTCCCGTCAGCTAATCGGAATCACTTCGTAAAGTGAACCATAGACATTACTTGCATCATGTGTGACATGCGCACACTGGATGCAAGAAAACGCAACAACAACCTGTTGCATAAAAGGTTGTTTTCTTTTTTTATATTTCAGATGACCATCAGACTTGGGGGTTGCTACTTTCCAGGGGGAAAGAGTGGAACTGGAGCTTTCAAGGTGCCCCTCCGTTCTTAGATCCCCTCCTCCCAGACACTCAGCATTCTGTGTCACTGTCCTTAGTCCTCACTGGGTTGTTTTAGGGTTTTTCCCCTTTGGGTTTTTTTCTTTGTTTCTCTTAAAAATAGTTTTTACTTCTGCAAATCTTGGGGCTCCTCCAAGCCTGCCAGGACTTCCCTCTTGTGCATGGATGGTGATGTCGTGTGGCTGTCTATGATACAAGGGTGCCATCTCTCAGGGTTTTATCCCCAAACGGCTTGAGGCTTTAAAAAATAAAATAAAACCCCCAACCCGTAGAACATTCCCCCTTTCCTTATATACAAAGTGTGTGTTTCTAATTGAAATAAAAATAGGTCTGATATATATATATAAATGTTCATAAATGTACCAAGCAAACACATACATAAATATATAAACCACATGTCTGAAGCAGCATAGGAAAACAGCCCTGGAACCATTTTGACTCCCAAACTGACCAAATATTTTCTCTGCAAAGTCAAAGGAAAATGGAAAAGCCTCCCCATTGTCTTTTCCTTCACAAATCCTGTCTTAAGGGTATGTCTGTGTATGAATAGGGTGAGCCTGTGACCTGGCTCAGGAACTAAGTATTTATCATTACAAAAGAAGGCTCCCCAGGGTAACCAATCAAGTAAGCATTAACAGGTAACTTGCCAGATAGGAGGTAAACAACGACAGGAGGTAAACAACGCACTCAGATTTTTGCTGTAGACTGCCCTTTCTGTGATGTAGGTATGATGTATCTTGGGCGGCGGGTCTTGGACTCCAAGGTGGGCAATTTAAAATGTCTATATAAGGACAGACACACCTTTGTCCTGGGTCCTCCTCCTTTCCTGTGTGAGAGGGGAGCACCCTGTTGCAACAGAACAATAAAGATCAGGCTTACTTGCTGCTTTGCTGCTCAGTATTCTCTGGTTGGCCTCTGTTCTTTTGTCTGACCAATGGAGAACCTACAAAGGACTCTGTAAGGGCTCTGGTGTCCCCCATAAAGGAATAAGGGCAGATTTTCGCTTATTACATAGTCCTTATGGCTGCAGAAACAAACCTTAAAGACATGGCTGTGAAGAAGTCACACACCGATTCAAAACTTAGCTTACCTGAATGTGAGGATCCCCACATGCTTCAAACAACATTTCCCCCTCTTCAACATATGTAATAAAGTCAGCATGGCAGCATGAGTGTAAAGGCAGTTACATTTGAGGCTGTGTACATGCTATATATTTAAAGCACTCTTGTTCCCTCAAAGACTTATGGGTGTTATTAAGAGTTGTTGCGAATTGTAACTCTGTTAGGGATGAACTACAGTACCCAGAATCCTCTGAGGTGAATAATGTGCCTTGAATGTGCTTTGGATGTATAGTGCGTACCCAATAAAAAGACAGGGCCTGGCACAGTTGAAGCAGTCATCCTTAAAAGCAGCTGGATATCTGCCCCTCGCTGCCATCTGCTTCATAGGATGCAGAGCCAACCTAGGGAGACTGAAATATGGCTGAAGTACCTCAGTTCACACAGCAATTTACCAAAAATAACTAGTTAACCAGGAAAGGGGGGAATAGGCGAAGAAGGGTGGGAAAGTGTAGGGCAGGGGTGCTAAACATAACTCAGGCAAAACAAAACAAAATTTCTTCCAGTAGCACCTTAAAGACCAACTAAGTTAGTTCTTGGTATGAGCTTTCGTGTGCATGCACACTTCTTCAGATACGTATCTGAAGAATACGTATCTGAAGAAGTGTGCATGCACACGAAAGCTCATACCAAGAACTAACTTAGTTGGTCTTTAAGGTGCTACTGGAAGGAATTTTTTTTGTTTTGACTATGGCAGACCAACACGGCTACCTATCTGTAACTATAACTCAGGCAGGCACCCTTCAGAACATTGTGGACCATCCTCTCTGCTTCCAAAACATTTTGGTGGTTGAAGCCTCTGCCTCCTGAGTCACTGTCTGCCACATTCTGCGGCCACCAAATGGGTCTTAGCTGAAATGAATGGGGCAGTGTCTGTTTCCAAGAAAGGGATGCCACACCTCATAGAAGTGGGGTGGGGTGGCGGGACTCAGCCGTGTTGCTTTCACATATAGAAGCCTATTTGAGACCTATGGAAAAGTTCAAAATGGCTGTTGCCTAATCATGACAGGGTTTGAAAATAAATATTTATTTTCAAACTCTGTCATGATTAGGCAACAGCCATTTTGAACTTTTCCATAGGTCTCAAATAGGCTTCTATATGTGAAAGCAACTCTGTCACTATTAGGCAACAGCCATTTTGAACTTTTCCATAACTTGGCTGGCAGCGGCTGGGAAAGGACCCAGTTAGGCAGGTTTCAGACAGTTCAAGTGTTCCCAGGACTTAGAGACATCAGAGCAGGACGACCTGCTAATTTTCACAGGCTGCACAATCCCAGTCAAACAGCACCTGCTTGTATCTCTTGAAATACTTGCCAGAAGTTGCTTTTGTCACCCAGGTTCTGTGTATCATAGAATCATAGAGTTGTAAGGGACCTCAAGGGCATAAAATAGATAGGTGGGGGGGGATGTGTAGCCTCTTTTGTTCTTTAAAGGTATATAATATTGTTTTGTAAATTTATGAGCAGGAATTGGTAAACCAACAACTATTGGATAAAGGGAATTGTATATAAGGAAAGAATTATGAGTCAAAGATAAATATGTAACATCACGCAGCAGTGGGGGGAAACAGGGACACATCATCATCATCACCATTTTTAATTTGTATACTGTCTTTCTATCTTGCAATACTCAAGGCGGTTTACAAGCTGAAGAAACAAAAATGTACACCTTATAAAAATCTAATGCAATACAAAAATGTGATAATAAAACATAATTTTAAAATAAGCAACCTACATCAAAAAAGAAACATTCAACTACCATTAGAATAGTATAAAATAATAATATCAGCATATAAAAGTTAAACAGAGATTCACTCTTAACAGTTACAATAAACAATTCCTAAACTACAATAAATAAAACAACGGCAAGCCACAGTACATCAAATAATACAATACAAACTGAGAAGGAGAGACTAGAGGGTGGAGGAAGGCCTTTCCTGATGAAGTCAACTTTTTGGAAATATTGTATTAAATTTGATGTCATTTGGCTCTGATTTGTTAATCTTTATTGTCCCCTCCCCAGTTATTTAATTGGCAAAAAAGGAATTCACCCCAAAAGCCATTTAGTCCAACTCAATGCAGGAACCTTTCACCCAACATTGGGCTCAAACCCACGACCCTGAGATTAAGAATCTCAAACCACTAGTAGCAGTAGGCAGCTGTGTACTGCAGTCCAGCGATCCTTCGGTTGCAATGCTAAACACACTTACTAGGGACTTGCTTCTGTGTATGCATGCACAGGGATGCACTGTATAACTGTGGTCTGAAATTTTCAATGTGCTTTTGATTATCCACAACAAAAAGAATGGAGAGAAACGGCTAGGCAACATTTTCCCCAAAGTGAATAGGGACAAATAAGGAGGGATGGGAGAATCTGTCAATTTGAGTTTCTCATTTTCCAGTCTTAATTTCAGTTCTTCACGTTCATGTGTAAAAGTTCTAATGAAAGTTACTCAGCATTTTAGTGTTAATTTCCCCCAGCATTCATACACATTTGTATGCAATGTCGCCTAACATACGCACGTTATTCTAAAGCAATGTTCCCATACGTTATGCATTTTTGTGTGTTGTTTTCATGAGTACACACATTTTTATGCACACTTTGCCCTGGGATATGCATTTTTGCACACGTTACTTGGCTGGAGAGCTGCCTTGCAAAATTTGGAAAAGTGTGAACTTTGAAGGATAGCTGTGGAATTGCTTTGGAAAGTGCAGATTAGGGAGCTTCCCCTTTAAATGTAAACTGAATCCAATTTCCCCCTACAAATTGCAAATTAATTTCTTCTGCATTTTAGTGCAACTTTATCAAGCACTCAAGGATAAAAGGAGAACATCACTAGGCCTGGGCATATTTCATGTCACAAAGATATTTCTTGAGACGTCACTGTTTAGAGCCAATTGGTCCTGAACAGCAATTCCTTCTTCACTGACAAATGCTGCAGTGACATGAGCAGTGGAGACAAGTATGGCAGTGGGGGCCACTATCCCACCCTGCAGCATAGACCACTGACAATATGTTTCCCACCTTGTTACTGTCACTGCCACTCCTGCCTAGGGCTCATCTAAACGTACGTTTTGCCCTGCACTTTCTAGGCGCAGGCCCTCGTTTTCCTGGTTCGTGTCTGAGAACTTTCTTTTTTGCCCCACCACTTTCCCCAGGAAAACCTACCATTAAATACTGAATCAGAACAAATGGCAATTTTGGTCCATGGATTGATGTTTGCTCCAACTCAGCGGTAAAGTGCAGTGCTTCACAGGGAAACAAACAAACAAACAAATGCTCAGATATGAAACCTGGAAAGCCTGGACCCAGAAATGCAGAGCAAAGTTAAATAAGGACAGGGCAAGTAAGCTTATACTGTAGTTTATTTAATTGGGAATAGAGGGACTGCCTGATGATATCCCAGTTTCTTATAAGTCAAGGGCATGTTCTTTCTGCTCATTGACATTTTGTTCTAAAACAGGGACTAAAAAAATTGGTTTCATTCCCATCCTTGTAGCTGACCTGATCAATTACCTCATGTCAAAAGCTCTCCCCTTTTTGTGCTTCCATTTCCTCCTTTACTGGTGTGTCTGTCTGCCCCTATCCCTGTTTCCCACCAGATGCTTTTGTGCAAGACAATCACAGCGGAGACACCTCCACCTGTCCCCAACCGTGACCTTAGTCATGGGACTTCTCAGGTGTTCCTTCTACAGATAAGTCATGGGACTTCTCTGGTGTTCCTTCTAAAGATACTGTCTCTTGGT